CCATGAATTTCAGACCAGATTTTTATGTCATCAGCAAAAAGTACGGTTTTGCACTGCAGAAGTTTCGGCAGGTCATTCATGTATACCAGGAACAAAATTGGACCAAGAACCGAACCCTGAGGGACACCACTTGTGGCGGCAATTTTATCGGAAAACGCTCCATCGACACGAACTTGGACCGAACGGTCACTCAAATAGTCTTTCAGCCAGCTCAACAGATTTCCCGTCACGCCATACATTTCAAGTTTCCGAAGAAGGATACTGTGATCGACTCGATCAAAGGCTTTGGATATATCCAAGTAACAGGCATGTACAGTAACTCCCGCATCGACTGCTCGTGTCCAGTCATCGAGTGTCACGAGGAGATTGGATAAACAAGAACGATTCTGTCGAAATCCGTGTTGTTTATCGCTCAACAAGGAGTGAATTTCAAGGTGCGATTTCAGGGCTTCTGCTATAATTCGTTCCATTACTTTTGATATTACTGGGAGAAGAGTGACAGGTCTGTAGTTAGATGCACACGTTCTGATACCTCCTTTGAATATGGGGGCTATTATTCCGCATTTCCAATCCTCTGGTACCAACCCTTCTTCCAGAGAACTAGCGAACAGTTTAGCCAGAGGATAGCTAAGTGGTTCAGCGCAGTGGCGCAGAAGCAGTGGTGTAACGCCATCCCCACCAGGTGAAGTGTGTACCTGTAAGCCGCGAAGGTGTTTGACAATGTTAGCCCGATCAATATGCACGTCCGATAAAGTTTCGTCCGTTAGTACCTCCACAGTTTGTATAGGAGCGCGGGTATCTTCAGGAGAAAACACGGAAGCATAAAATGTGGCAAGGGCATTAGCTGTTTCAAACGCATTTGCAGTCATTCCCGATTCTGTCTTTATGGCAGATATACCTGGTTTAACTTTAGCTGCGCATTCACGTACGACTCCCAGTGTTCGTCGGTCCGGTTGGTACAGTTCCAGTTGGTACGATATTCAAAATATCGCAGTATGTTTTCATAAATGAGACCACTCAAGGTTGCTGAAAACTCTCTGAATCTTGAAAGTACAATGCATTAGTATGTAGCTCATGATAGAAACTGAGATCGAAGAGAGGATCACATGTTTCCTGGACTTCATACTATCTGATAAGACCAACTATGGCTTCTAAGTGGGAATCCACACAAAAAAACATTAAGACAGGTCTTCGTATCTGCACCACATCAAACGCACAGTTGCCGGATTGTTGGGTGTATCATGTCAAGAAACTGTACACGGATGAGTCCATACGAGCAGATGAACTGAAGCGACTCATTTGGGTGTCACGGCAAAGTAAATGCCCCATAGGACTCATCTGACAAGTGGGGAGAACACCACCTGGAACGATGAGACGTGGAGATGAAACTCGGTGGTTCTCGTGGGAATGCCCCATAGAAATGGTACTTCAAATGCCATTCGGATGATGCTGCTTCCAGATCGACAAAATTTTACAACTACACCATGAAGGGGTTGTGGATGTTATCGAACCGGGACACCGCACAAACTGCGTCAAACAAATCCTTGTGCAGAATATCCGGCCAGACAGGCAGGCCATTCCACGTACGAACCACACAGCACTAGCGATGTCCGCTTTTTCCATGAAAATTTAGCGTGACTCAGCCATCACACTCCATGCACTTGAATCAAGCCACCAAATCAACTTCGATGGCACACGTTTATTCCAGTCAAGATTGAAGTCACACGTTGCAAGAACGTGAACTGAGGCACTAGGGATCAACATGAAACCGAACTCTATCAACCGTAGTGACGCAGCCAGCTTCCCGTCTATCCTGCTTGGACTTACTGCACACCTAAGACGGCACGGTGGTCAGAGTTAAAACAGGAATATCCAAAGTGATGCTCCCCAGACAGCACAGCAACAGGCGGAAGCACATCCCATTCAAAATACACACAGTCGCGCATACACGCACACAGACCTAACACATCCACAAAACCCGGCAGTAACTGACTGCTAACTGATCTCGGAAACACACCAAACATAAGACATTATAGCGGACCTAAATAATGCAGCAATTGGTTGTAAAAATCTTTGAGAAAGAGTTGCCCACGGCAACCGAAAGGTCGGATTATGACATCTTATTCCACCACACTGTTCTGACCTTAGATTTCTCATATCTTTTCCTTTTTCTGGCAACCATGGTGGTGTGGTTCAGATAACTAGTTCCTAATTCAGCTATAAAGTTACTCATGAGCAACACGACTTCGAACTGTTAAGTACTTATCCTTAGGTTGTGTGTGTGTGAGCAATTTTGAACATGAGTTCGATTCAAAAGAACCGGAGAAGAAGTCTGAAGTGGCACAGAAATGGTGTATGGGACGGTTCCGCGGTTATCAATTCATAATGAGATATCAGGAAGACTGGTAGCTTCGTTTCAACGTTGCATTGTGATCTCGATTACTTGGTTATGCCGATGAACAGATTGTCTCTGTACGTACGCTCAACGCAAGTTACAACTCCTCAATAAGACTTTCGGTTTAGCTGAGTATCTGAACCATGCCCTATCTAGATTTTGACTTGTGCGCAGAAGTATCAAACCCTTTCAAACGAGGAAACCTTAGGACCTAGGAAAGATCATCAGCCTTTGGATATTTAAGATACTTCCAACACAGAGGTGATAAACCTCGGTGCTGCATAACTGCTTGCAATCGGGAAAGATAAAGTAAAAAGATATCGAGGTAATCATCCTCACGAACCAGCATTACAAAGACGACATGGTCCACACTTTTGGCATATGCGATGCTTTCAGTTCCACGACTATTCTTAAACATTAGTGTTTCTGTGAATTTTGGTCTATTTATTTAACCGGGTTACAGCTGCAAAGGGAAGGGAGATATTTATATTTGGATAGTGGCACCATCTCGTACTTTGTGCAAATGCAGCTCAAAAATTACATCCAATTCAGCTGTACAATGGGGAGGGGCAAGCTTAATTATCACTATCATCCTAGCCGGGGGTTTACCAAGGACAATGTGAAGAGGTCTAGACCAACTGGATTTTCCGATCATGAGTGGAGGGTTTAAGGGGTTCTCTCGCAAATTGCAGGTGTCAGCACTCAGCCTGTCAGTTGAACATAAGGTCGATAGTATATTGGGTGCGAACACATGCCCATGAGCTGATTGAGGATATTGATTCTTGTATGTGGACAAATAATCCAACACAAACGGTGATACTATGTAGTCTCACTCTGTAATGTGATGTCTTGAGAAATTGGGTTTCTAAATTCTCCATCAGACTCAACCGAAGGAATTCTGCCGCAAATGCGACCACTGGGAGTCTTTTTAACCGATGACGTATGACTGGTTCATTGCACCTGACCACTGAGGTACACTGCATCTGATCCCTCACCGCGATTCTACCGGTGAAAAATCAGGTGAAAATAATTTATTTATCCAACTGACGTGTGTAAGCTTGTCGCGTATCGGACTAATTTACACTTGTCACGTAAAAGAAGGAAACAACGGTAAAAATCTATCGGTCACAATACGTCCAGTTTTTTTATCTGTTTTCCATTAAAGTCTGCGGATTCTGCTAACGCGTAAGTGCACCAAAATTGTGCACGGATCTGCGCTCTTCTGTTATGACAGGCGGAGACCAGTTCACGTTATTAAATAAATTTAAACGTAGTTGCTTGGCGCCAGTCAAAAAGTAAGTTCTTATTCAGAATAAGCATGCATGAATTTCCTGTATAGTGGACAAATAACATACTAACTTAGTGTAAGTTCTCACAGTCCACTTTTGTCTCTCGGTTTTTCTATACTTAGGTCGGAAAAATTAACCGTGGTTACTACATGCTTAAATATTTTCAAGCGTGTGCAAATTTTTTCCTGGAATTTGCCTGAGTATCATATTCGTGACTTTGAAGCCTTAATTGTGCTCACTATTCCTGTCATATACGTTTTCGAATTTGTCTTTAATGGCATTATATTTCACTTGAGTTCACTGCTCTAGTAAAGTGTGCCTCGAAGCTAGCAGCGATTGGCCCAAAATAACAGCTTATCTTTAAATGAAGTTACTTTTGAACCTCGCTCAGCGGGATATCAGCTGAATGGAAATCTAAGATATCACGTTGTGTGTATCAAGTCCATGTGATTGCTCGCCAAGATAACTTTACTGCTGCACATCTGATCGTTCTTCAATGTGCGTCACTGACATCTCTCCGATTCAAGAGTCGAATAACTAAGACGTTCAATTGAGGTAAATTGGAGGCACAATACTGACGTCCATTTTCTGCGAGCGCTCAGTTCTGGATGAGTTGGGGAGCGATAGGTCGCCTTCTCTATTTCAAGGTTCACCTTAACAACAGCGATGCTTTTCGCCAATGTTTCCTGATTTACATCCTACTTGCTAGGTTGTCACCCTAATCGATCCATGAGTTTCCAGCGGCAGGAGCACTATCTACCAACATAATAAAAGTGCGAAGCGCTGCTATTTTCACTCCGATAACAGACTAAATATAGTTTAAACTTATGGTCCCATGTCATAAGATTTCACCTCTCAGCCGCCACCTCAGAAACTTACTAGGATTTCTCAGGGCTTTCTGCAATTTATATTTATGCATTTCATAATGAACAAACATAGTTATTCCAAACTTGCTTGTCTACAATATACTTCACAGTTGGCTGAAAAGTGGAAATGTTTTGGTGGTCTTGCGTTCCGTAACTTGGAATAGTTTTTTATTGACTCAGTAATGAAATCTGGTACTCGGAAATCTGGTTGCACTATCACTAAATACTGTTTAACACACAAAAGTGAACTTATCGAAGGTGACCCAGCAGATAACTAGGTGTCACTCAAAAAGATACATTAATGAGGTGTTAAACGTAACTAGGCATATGCTGCCAGGATCCAACGACATTCTGATGGAAAACCTGTCTCATTGAAAATAACGTGAAAGTTTATTTGTTTGAAAGACGCAGTTGTCATGATAAAATTTTCTTATTTGTTTTATATGTTCGTTAAGGGAGGGTGCACAGATTTAGAAATGCGTCCAGCTGATTTTCATTCGGGCCATCTACAAAGGAGTTTGCCCGTTCTTCCATGGACATCCCATGGACTTCATCCTTCTTCCAAGATTCCATGGCTTGCCATTTTGCACGTGAGTTCTCAGGTGTTCGTAGATATTCCATATTCTGATAGCCTTCAGTAAAGAATGGAATCAACGTATTGAACTGCAACATGCTAGAACGATCTGATTCCGAGAAAGTAGTCTGTATTGATCGGAGTGAGGGAAGCAAACCACGTGCGGTGTATCGCCTCTTTGGAAATACTTCTTCCAGATGTCTGAAATGCTCCGCATCTTCTTGTTTCTCCTGCCTCCGCCACTTTGCTCTACGGTTTTGAAACCATACCTACACATGGATAAGAGGATTGGAGAGTGTGCTCTCAAGAAATAATGAACTTATACTGTCTATCATTAACTCTGTCAAATCGGTTTGTCGGTATCTTACAAACGAAAGTTCGAAGTTCCGGTTTATCACTCATTCCAGAGAGATGGATCCAAATCCTTCCTATAAGATTGTTGAGGTCTTGCTGGTTTAGGCCAAACCAAAATCTTTAGAACCGGAAGCTACCGACCCTAAAAATCCAAAGTTAATCGAGCAGCTTTATCTGGAGAACTGGTTGTGTAACCGGTGTAACCTTTCAATAAGGCTTCAGAATAGTCAAAAAGACATAATGTCTTCGTGTTTAAGAGCTTTGGGAACGTCAGGCTGAGTGTTTCAACTTTTATTCATTTATCCTCAAGAATACATCCAATTTCCCACCAAGGAAGAAAGTTAGCACTAACTGCTCCAAGACATCCACCCACATGTTGAAGCAGCTGAACTGTTGAATGACCGCAACACAAAAAGTGACCACACAAACTTCCGGATGACAATACTGTGTGAAATTGTGATTTGATCACGAAATGGGGTTAGTTTGGCATTCCAGTGGTCTAAAAACTATGAAATTCAACTACAAAAAAGCGATAGCCAAATGTGATGAGACACAGAATCACAAATAGGCGGATGAACTAACCAGTGTTAATAGGTAACCTTTACATACAATTGTGGCACTATGATAGACCTCCACTTTCTATGTGATATGCTTTTCATTTTGGCGCGAGTAGAGGATACCGTCATGTACGAAGTGCAAATAAAGCCAATCAAATTTCCACTCTTTTTCAAGTCAAAGACTCTAAACTTTCAGCACGTACGTTTTCATCATTTGCAGTATGCTGTGCATTTAGGTCATAAAGGACCAAGTGAAATGCGGTGCCATTGTTAATCATTATACCTTCGTCCTTGACCTTTGACCATTATGTCCTGATATGGAAGTCGGTCGTATTTTTTACATATCGTTCAGCCATATGATGGTAGTCTACTTCATAAATGAAAAGAATATCATGAAAGAACATTCACTGTGAAACAAGCCACCTTGAATTCCCTTTTTTCCCCACGGCGTATGCATGGCACACCAAGCCTTATGGATTATCTAGGTTGTACCTTCAACGATGGGTAGGTTCACTTATTCCCAGCTGTGTTTCCGTAAAGTTAACCCTGTGTTTATTTGACTACGTGATTTGCGCTTATTGAAGTCAACCGAAGGATACCCCGACGTTCAGCGTTTCGATCATGAAGGACCATAGAACACTGGATTTGCACATTGGTCTCGAAAGAACATTCAGATGCTTTTGATCTAGTCATATTCGGCCTTCATCTACTTCCTTATCTCAAACCCGAAAAGGATTTGTGGTAATCACCTGATTTACTCCGTATTTTATACGGAGCGACCATCGGATAAATGGCCACTTGGAATTTTATATCAGAGAAAGTTACTTTTATCACATAAGTTGTTTATTCTGCACACTCTGCATACCCATGAGTTCTCCCCATTCATCAGAGGTAACGCAAACTTGCATCCTATCTTTAATGTACCCAGAGCTCCCAACTAGAGGACATGACTCTGCAGTGAGTGCTAATTATTACCAAGGCCACTGCGCTTGTGAACATGGAGAGCCCCCGGTTGAGTATGTGAATACTGCTGTTGTCATCGATTCAATCAATGCACTGGTCCACAATTCCCCAACACATAATAAGACCTTTTAATGTCTTTATGCGCACAAAATTACAAGTTATCAAATATCAAATAAAAAATTTACCAAACACTATCCTTTAGAAATACAAACATCGTTTTTTCGACGGGAGGAGCGAAAACTATTTTTAACAGGCGGAATCCATAACGTTTCAAGCACTATACCCGCAAAGCATCCGAAGAAGGAATCCCTCGGCAAAGGTCGTCCTTGTCCTCCTTGGTCCCTCAAAAACTGGTAGTCAGCTCATGCCTAGGCACATATTACAAGAATGGCGTTGTACGAAAAACAGATTGTTGAATTATTTGCTCTTGACATAAAAGCATACCGACTGTGACGTTCTTCCACAGTCACCGAAAGAAGCAGTTCCAGGATTATCTGCGTATGCATTTCGGTAGTGGCCTGTTTACGTCAGCGTGAAATACATACTCAGCACCAGTCCTTAAACACTCATGGTTGGTGTAAGATTACTCGTTGGAAGCTTTCTCCAGAAAGAAGTTAATCGTATCAAACATCATCGTGGATGAAATTAGCACCAGTCCAGTTTGGTCTAAGAAAAGATTGAAGGCGCATCCAGTGGCTTAAAACTAAATGTTACCCACTCAGGAATACTTCTGTGAATAGCTGAGAAACTCACTTTCATCCATTCCTTTTGATGTGATGACACTGCACTTTTTAATTTCAATCAAAGTACATCAGCCGCATAAAACTCGAAAGGCTGGGTATGCGAAAAAATTAAGCTCCCCTCAGGAGTTGCAAAACACATGTTGATCACATTTGTGTGGAAAATACAAAGATTACTCACATTTTCAAAGGCTTACCTGGGAAATGGCAGATATGCGTATAGATTATTAGTCTTCTAGCCAAGTTTACGTGCACCGTTGGAAGACAGGAATGTATAATTCAGAATGAAAAAAGTTTTCAGTTCCTACAGGTAGGCCTCAAAATGTTTCATTCCCAAGCTTACCAGAGAGTGCCCAAGACAAACGGTTGAGGATGAATTCGAAGTGGATATGTGCTCCAGTGTCCAACAAATTTCAATGCGCGACCTGCCCCTGTTGAGAACAGCGATAATTATCGACCATACTTTCGAGGTTTGTTATTCAAAGTTGTTTCATCTCTACTACGAAGCAGTGGTAATAGTTCGTCAAAGACCAGGCATACGTGTCGATTTTGTAATGTAATCCAGAGTATGTCGAAATAAAGACTAGCATTACAAAGTCCTAATTGGAAAACTGCGAAGCCTATGCGTTTTCTACCTTTACACAATGCAATACTTCTTTAAACACATTATGAGGCTTTGTACCAAAGTGTGACTCACTTGAACCCGAACTTCTGGTAGTCGGATTTTTTGTGCAAGCTCCTCACGAAACAACACATCAGGATAGTGACTGTATTCGAAAGCGCGTTCCAGTTCGTGCAGCTGATAAGTCGTGAATGTGGTCCGGTTTCTCCTAACTTTAGTTCCTGTGACACACTGGTTTCTTCTTGCGTTGAGTTGGGCAGTTTTCCCTTTTTGTTCAGGTAGATGTATTTTGTCATCGTGCTTTTCTTGTGTGAATGTACACCAAGCAGTTTGACTGGAAGCGACGCACGACCGGAATATCTCTGTTACAGGTGACTCTTCACTATCAGCCAAACCTGGATGTCGAAAATGGTTGAAACCTGTAAATCTGCGAGATAGTCAAAACCCTGAACATAACTGTAAGTAGATTTATTAAATTAGCGGAATGCACTCAGTTGCATACCAATTTGGTTTTGACAAGAACCTCACCTTGAACCCAGCTAAATCTCTCGTTTATGATGTCCTTAAGTAACTGAATGTTCTGCACCAGGTCGCTTTGTTTTCAGTTGTATATGGGAGACTCACCTGCGTTCCATCTGGATCTTTTATTGTTCTTAAGGAACGTGGGTTGAAGTAGAACATAAGGTTGACGGAAATTCTGGGACTGCACCCACAAGAAGGACGAAACCAGCCGTAGGCTGCTGATGGGTTTTCAGTCACCTTATGAGTAGTCCACAAGAATCCGAAACACTTTAGGTGCTCCAAGTAGGATTCATAAAATTAGCCAGCAATCATTTACGTTTTTATTTTACTTACTAACTTTGATCCAATGAATCAACCATGTTTGTCAGTAGCCAGAATATCTATCAGGTTTTTTGAGGGAACTGAATCGAATCAAAGGTAGACGGTGTAGCTGTCTGCACACGTGGGTCATTAAACCCGACCCCCGGATGCCAATGGGTTTTGCAATTTGCTGGAATTAGAATGGAAATCTTGCTTCGTCAGACATGTACATCTAAACTACAGATTTCAGGGTTGGCCGAATATAAGCTGCAACAGACCGTTCGAACTCAGGCTGCCGGGAGTTCAATATTATGCTACTCAAATGTAGTTTTTCACATGAGAACAGTAAATCGGGGGGATACAGTGCGCAAAGCAATACAGTTGTCCACATTGTTTGGGATGAAGCCGCATGCATTTGCCCTCAGAGTAATGGCACGCAGGCAGCTAGTCTTGCCGTGCTTTGCTGCACTCTCCACGATTGGTCATTTGCTATAACCAGCATAATCATCTCCCCTTCGCATCTCTAGACATAGAAGAATTTCCTGCATCAGAATATTTGATCACATTTGACAGTAAAACCATCTAATTATCGTCTATGTCAGAAACTAGGGTTGCACAAGTTAATAGCATACCGGTGCCTTTTTCCATGCAATACGACTAAGTGTGATTAATCCAGGCAAGGCAGACCATTACAAAATGAGACCTTAGCACTGGTATTTAATTAGGATCAGTGACCACATAAGTCACAATCGCTAATGTCGACTTCTGAATTAAGTCATGTTACATGTAGGTGATATGACCATAAGTAGAAAGGTTCGTCTGGGCAACACTACTGAATGCGCACTATTAAATACCGGAAAGAACAACTGAAGCCTAATTCAAGCCTGCTTTTGTTTGCATAAAGGACCGTATTTAAAAATACGCATTGCCTAATGTGATAATTGAGGTAAGATTCTTAAAACGGACAGAATTGCTCGGAGCTTCCAACGAGTGTGAGGTATTTGAAACAATTTGGCCCCATAAATGTTGCGTTTAAACGATTGTAACTCCAGCAATCAACACTGTGCAAAATTGCAAAGATTAGCTGGAGCACACGTCTTGCTGTGATACATGACGTCAAGAAAGGGCAGAGCACCTGTACCCACAAGATGCGATTTGAGCTATTTCATCTCTCAAGGCCGAAAGTTCACCGTCAAAGATGAACATTTTCACTTGACTGGAGTGGCGAAATCATCACAGTTATCTTTTTACACGGAAGGAAACTAAGATTTGAAACTGCGTAAACTTCAGCTTACTGACGTGCTTGTTGGTATCCAAAAACGGTCAAAAACTGTGACCGTAACGGAACTCTTTCGAACACACACTTCAAAAAGCATCGGGAACCAAGGTTGTCTGTGAAGTCAGACTCGAACGAATTCTACACAAACTATAGGTTTGCGACCATACAAGCGATGGAGGCCTCAGATGCCAAGGAAATACGTATCTGTGTGGCTCATATGTTACAAACCTCCCACAGTATGCAAGTCAAAGTTATGTGAAACAAGCAAATTCGCATCAGCTACTAACGGTAATCATGGACTTCCTTGACGGGTATGCGCAGGCAGTGAAATTCACTATTCTTAGTGTAGCGTGGCCGTTTGACTTTAATTTCAGATTGGTAAGTTGGCAAAAACCCAATGAACCGTTTAAAACGTAGCCGATGTAGCCATTGTACGTCCTCTCACAGTTTGTCTGTTCTTACTTCTATTTGGAGGAGCTCCAATAAATCTTTCTTATGCACTGCTTCATGTCTGGACAATTAATGTAACCAGGGTGCCAGCAGTCCTCCATTTACTGGCGTTACGAAAACCAAGGATTTAGACAAATGGAAGTTAATTATCCGCTGAGCTGACTAAATCGGCCATGACGTACTGATGGCTGCAGAGCAATACTACCGAAAGAAAAATTGCAATTATCATGCACGTTGTAGGATCTCTTTGACTCTCTACCGCAGTCTGCAGTTACCACTGTAAATTGGTCGAAAACTAGCGATTCCACAAATGAATACCCTTAAAGGCTTCTGTAGTAGGCATTCAGAGCTATCGATAAACACTTACTGGTGTATTTCAGTCAATTTATTTCTTCAGTTTGTAGTCCCCATAATTATGTTAGATGTGGTAAAATCATTTCGTCTTTCACTATTGAACGCTAAACACATACTACATTTCAAGAGTCAGTTTGCTTACCTTTTTCAGGTGTTAGAAGGGAATCGATTCCAAAAGGAGGTAATCCACTGACCTGCCCATAGGTATATCTAGACGGCATACTTGGACGTGGATCACAACTGTGGAAGAAATCAGTTCGCCTTTCGATGTACCTATTATCTCAAACTGCAAAGTCCGACAGATGCCGAGTCGGACAAAAGCCATGCACTAACCAATGAGCAGGCGAGCTAGGGATAGAGAAACCGATGAGCTTGAGGATTTAAGTGTGATTGGATGGAGGGGTAGAGTTTTGTTTGGGGTTAAATTAAAAATTTGTTAGAGTAGAGTCTGTTAGAGTTAATAGTTAGAGTTAAATAAAAAGTTAGGGTTAGGTTTAGTAGTACAGTTTGCTAAATTAAACTAATTGTATGTGAAAAGAAAAGCTTCACTAAATTGGAAAAAACGAAAGTATTACCTCAGTTCTTCAACGTTTCCCATGGTAATCGACTAAGTTAACAAAACTCCTAATATCCCTGGGATCTTACAAGTATCGATCTTGATTTTTTTATGTTCCACCTCACTTACTCAAAAATCTGTAAGATGTCAGCAAAACAAGGAAAGTGGGCCGATTCATGGTTCAGAGATACGCTAATCCGCCAGCACAGTTCCGACTAGTTAATATGACAACTGTGCTTAGTGGAATTCTGTCTAAGATAATATGTTGATAGCCCATAGGATTACAGTCCCGCAACTTATGATATCTACTTGTTTCAAGCAAGGTATACTCTTGTAATCAATGTGGGTTTCAGCTAGTCTTCTTTTTTAACTCGAATAAGAAGTGAGATGTGATACTCTAAATCACGCATCCCAACATGGCGGGTGCGAGCGAATTTTTCCAGATGTTGTTTAGTGTGTAATCCATCGGTGAATAGGCTGGCAAAATTGCAAGACGAATGACCTTTTAGGATCACCTACCAACCAAGTGGGGCTACAATAAATCTCATGGGAGTCTTATTCAGTCTGGACAGGTGCAGGCTAATCACCAAAATTTCATTCATATCACTTTTCTAGGCGATCCTCCTTTTCTGGGAAAAGTATTCTGCTTAGTCCGATCTTATCAGAGGAAACCATAGATTAGATACTCGATCTTATCAGAACTCAACTGTAGAACACCGTCGAGACTCCAACCTCAGATACTTGACACAAGAGACGAGAGTGCTACCATCATCACGAGAGCACGTTGAACGCGCCTGCCTAAAGTCAGTCAGTGTCTGTTTTTATTTTAAACTTTCAGAGAATCTACAGGGGTTTTCCAAATGCACAAACGTCCTTTGGAGAAGCCATGATGAGCGTCTTGTTATATACTCGGAAGTGAAATGGAAACTAGTAATTGGTAATAGGGATAACGGGAATGATACTTTTGTTGAGCGCAACCAGTCATGTGTATCCTTGTGGAGAAGGAATGAATTCAGCCAATTTATGGACGATAATAAAAGGTCCCGTCTGTAATTACGGTTGTTCATGAATAGGCTCCCGGAAAAGTTGTGCCCTCAAATTAGAACCAGACCGTAAGCCGTTGTGATGTGTTTTGAACTGGTGATATTCCATTTCCCACAGCTCCACCTCCCAAAGATAGTAAACCTAGCCGACCGCTTTTTAATAAGTGAGCTTTGAGAATCTTGGTCCTTCTGACTACGCTGACACTCGTACGGCATAATGCCTTCGGTATGCCCGACTGCAGAGAATTCTTGAAAAAGGCTCTTCTTTAATAGTCAGCCCATCACCAGTCACCATCACCAGCTACTCATTAGAGATCCTAAATGAATTTTGGAGTTCTGGGAGAAACATGCTCGTATTTCACAAAAGTTCATTTGCGTACTGATTTGGTTCTCAGTTCGGTTCCCAAATGAATCTCCCATTTTTGATGTTTTTCTTCAACTGGACGTGCTGCAAAAGGCCGCCTCATGTTTCAGTTGGTACACTAGGCCAGCACAATCATACTTTTTATAGGTCTAACACACTACTCATAAGGTTGCTGAGACTCTTCGACAGCCTATTACTAGTTTCGTCCTCCTCGAGGCTCATTATATAATCGCAGTCCCTGAGTTTTCCTCAACTTTATGCTCTACCTTAACCCAAATTGCACGAAATTAGCGAGGTACACTCATTTGCACATCATTTTGGTCTCTCACGGAAGACCCAACGGAACCTCCAACTTGATGTGCTGCAACGCGCCACCTCATATTTCAGTTGAGACTCAGTTGAGTAGTGTGTTAATTCTATGCCCGCTATACCAATTGATCCGCGCAATAGGATAAAATAGTTCGGGGCGGTTAGGCTACTGCAAAACCAAACCTAAGTCTCATGACAGAGGATGAGTAACTGAATATTAACGGAGGATCAGAAGTTACT